CTGTCACTGTCATTCTGTTACACTGTGGAAGCTTCTGTCACGAAAACAAATTCCTCGTATGTGTAAACATACCTGGCAATAAAGCTCTTTCTGATTCTGATTCTGATTCTGATGTAGAGGGTTGCACAAAGGGACCAGATTAGACGCAGATGCCCCACATGTGCAGCATGCACTCGGACATGTGCTCTCGTTCACTCGCGCTCCCACACACACAAACATGCCGTTTTGTGCTGATGTGACAAAAGCTGAACGTTCTGCAATGGCAGATCCAGAGGATGTCAGGATACAGGACAGACCACACCTACCCACTGAATGCACTGCAGACAGCTGGCATGAGTGCATCCCAATAACGGTGTTCTGTGGCTACAGGCAAGACACTGCAGGCAAAGCCATCGTTTTTTCATGGACTGCTCAATTTAGAGATTTTGGGCTATTTGGCTTTCCATACAATATTGTGTTTGAGACTAATGGGGAAAAAAACACATTCAAAATGATTCCAATTTTTTTCAAAAATTATTGCACTTTATCTATTTGCACCTGTAGATATCAATTACAAAGGCCAGTTTCTTAAAATGAGTGCTTTCTCATACACTGAGACAAAAATCTCCACTTCAGCAGCGCTTACAGTTTTATTCCTATCGATATTCTGAAGGTTTTTTTTTTTTTTTACAGAGGAGGTTGCTTATATACAATTTGCCTCATTTTATACAATTTTTATTCCTAAAATTACAGTGGACTTTTCTGGCTGATTTATGGAGTGATGAAATTAGATCCAAGATGCCCTCTGTAAAAATCTTTGACTCTAATACAGTATCTCGACAAAATAAAACGATTATTTTGAATGTGGCTTTATTTAATGTTCAAATGTATCTTCTGGAATGTATGCAAATTAGTGCATATTTAATTAGATAGATGACTCATTTGCATATATAAACATACCATTGCAGAAAACTCGTAATACAAAAAGAGTTTGCAATTCTTAATTAATAAAGACAATGGGGAAGTATAGTGATATCTATTTTTTTTTTTGCCTATTCACCTGGGGTGTCTTGCCTTTAAAACATGGTACTTATGGTGCATTATGTTCAGTAAATGCATATGTTCATATAGACTGTGTGTAATGCATAATGAAGCATGAGGACAGCGAGGCAGTCTGGCGCGCGGCAGACCACATGCCCTCTGTCCCATTTGTTAGCCCGACTCCCATAATGCACCTGCTCGCCACAGTTAAAGCCACAGCAAAGAGCATTCCATGAGATTCAGCAAAACCACGATAATGATACCTGATGTTTGTTTCTAATGGCCTAGATCTAGGCCAACAAACTCATAACAACAAATTAAACTGCTCCCATTTGTGCCCAAGAAGTCTTTGAAATAGTATGACCTGCACATGCATTGTGGAGCAAGGCCTGAGCGTTTGATGTAATCAATGAATCGGGAAGTTAGTAATCCGAGTTGGCAGACTGGGTATGATCCAATGTGAATCAAAGTCACCTGACTGTAAATCCCACTAGGAACCCATCTGAGACCCAAACATAACAAATGTGTGAGTCAAATTGGCCAGATTGGTCTCCTTTACATTACATTACCAGCAGGAACAAATCAGACAGGCCTTCTTAAAGAAAAACCCTCATCAACCCATCTCAGAAGTCACTGGTTAGAGTTAGTAATTTAAAAAGGGACATTTGAATGTATGATGACATCAGCAGATTAGGAGATGGTGTGATGGGTGTGTAATATACACAACAGCTGTTATTTTTAAACCCTGCCAATATGTTTTTAAGCCAAAATCATAATTTATTATTCTCTATTGATGTGTTTGGTACATTAAGGCACAATATCATACATAGGGCATTTTGCTCTGTGGAAATCGTGCACACAACAAGCGATACAAATGTGAACCCTCGTCTGGATGAAGTCATCGCTTTGTTTTATTCATTTAACCCTTTGTGTAATTTATAAGAGTAGCCGAATTAATTTAAATCCATCTAAATATTGATAATAAAGCATTTTAATTACAAAATAGCAGAAATATCTTCCATTTCCATTGAAAAGCGTCATGTATCCGCAGCAACACACAACACAAACACACACACACGCGCGCGCTGCATAAACACTCACACCACCATCCGCGAAATGATCCACGACACCATCTTGATCTCTGCGAGGACTTTTTCTTATTTTAGTCGATTATTCAACATCTCCATTCTGAGCGCAGGAGGAATCACAGCGGATCTTGTGAGTCTGTCTCAGTGCAGCAGTGAGGATGACGGGGAGCCGCTGCATATGCGCTCAGTCAGCCCGCGTCTCTTAAAGGGACAGCGACATCTTTGCACCTGCTTCGGTTATTAAAAAACAAACAAACAAACATTCATTTATCTGTTTCATTGCTGCCCTCACAAATATTTCACATGGTACCCATAACAGTATTGTTGTACATACTTATTGTTACCACAGTAAAGTTTGCACCAAATCTTTAGGTACATTTCAAAAGTTTCATTTGAAGCTCAAAATTTTGCAAGCCCAGAAGTAGGCCTATTCATCTTATATTTTACTATAACATGTCTGGCCTGCTGACCTTTAAAGCTGTATTTGTGTGAACTGTTGGGTTTACATTAATGTGCAATGTTATATAGGCTACTGCTGAAACTACAATCAAGCAAACGCTCAAAACAATTAATTGTACAATATATATTTACAAATTTTAATATTATGATACTGCAATGCAAAAATAATATATATATATATATATATATATATATATATATATATATAGATAAATATT